TTTAGCAACGAATCGATAATTGTTAAAAGTTCTTTTTTTGTTAAGTTTTCTTCATTCATAGCAGCAGCTTCTTCCTGAGCAGTAATAGGTATTGGTCGAGGTAAGGAATTTAGCTTGTTGGTTTTAAAAGTCTCATTAATAAGCATTATTCACCTTTCACATGCCAAATTACTAAAATTTTTCAGTTGCTCGCTAAGTAGATACTCTCCTCCAAAACTTTCAAATATGCGATTATCATCTTGAGAGTTCAAAAACCCAGTTTTCCAAATGAACTCGAAATCTCTGGGATTCTGATGTATAATCTGGACGTATCCGACTGCTTGATGATTCATTATCCATATGCCCAATCATATCAAACAATGCATGACGCAGCTAATTATTATTTAAAAAATTGTAAATATTTCTTTTTTTCTTTTATTTTTGAATACAGATCTATTGTATTAACCTTAATGAACTTTGTACAGTTACATGCTGCTATTTTCCAATGCTTTTGCGAAGGTACGGGCGGAATTAAGGCCTTTAAAGATTTATTGATTTCTTCGAGAATGGCATCAAGGCCTTGATGCTGATTATGATATCCTGATCGTGAAATAACTGAGTATAGTTCTATACACTGTTTAATCTCAGGATTTAATCGCATCAATTGCTCTTCATAAGTTATTTTAATTAAACGATACATAGGATGTCTACGGCCAGACCATATTGGAGCAAATATACGTCTAGCCATATTTATCAACAACGGTCGATTATTTCTAACCCCTGTATGAAAATTAATGATTGCCTGTAGGTAGGTAAATGTCTATAATATTTATTAGCCAAAAAGTATTAGTTAATGCTTAGCATCTCATAAAAATCTTACTTGTTCGAATTTTAATTTGTATGTATAATCATTTTGTTCTTTTGCCCACTCTAGGTAGTTATCAACTGAGGGATTTTCAGTCATAACTACGTACGGCCATAATAATTCACACATAATGGCATGTCGGTATATATTGCAAATAGAGTCCCATGATTTATGATGGTCAGCACATTTTTTAAAGAACCCAAGTTGATTTTCAGTTCTGTATCCTTGAAGAGTAGCGAATTGTTTAATATCAATATTCTTTAAAATAAGTCGAATATTAGAATTTTCAGAAAAAAGATATTATCCGTATTAATTTAAAAGAAAAAAATTAATACCAATTTAATTCTACGAATGCTTTAAGCGTATTCATTTCTTCGTGCAAAGCTCTGGGAATCAATATAAGCTATGGAAAGTTCTTTCTAATTTTTTGAGCAAGAGTATAAGGAACACCGTCACAAGTTACAGGTAGCCATCTTCGCGCTTCTTGGCCTATTTCTGTGATGTTTTGTATATATTCTAAAACCTTTCTTACATTATTTATTGAATTATGATTGAATTCTAACAGATCTGGTATATACATTTCAGGAACTATAACACTATCCTTAGGTTTCGATTTTTGTGTAAGACTAATACGATCAAGATATGAGCTTTTTAGTTCATGAGTATACGTATAAGACCTTATAACAAGAGATTTTGATTGAGTATCTATATTATAAATCGGTATAAATTCATTAGCAGATTCTTCTTGTAAGGCAGCCAATGTGTCTAATCTTTCATTACATTGAGGACAATTGTGTTTTTTATTATCAATATTCTTTGTATTACATTTTTTGCACCATTTAGACTGACGTCTGACACCTTTTTGATTTTTTATAGTTAGATCGATTGTATTGGCTTTTGCATTTTTTTCAGCAATAAGTTCATTTAAAATTGATGATAAGTATACTTTTAATTCTAGCTCGTGGTCTGCTTGCATTTCAGATGTGATATAATATAATTTTTCATACTGTTCATCTGTTAGTGAATCGTAAAGCCAAGGTGCGATTGTAAATTGAGTGTAATTATTTTGATTCATATTTAATGCGACAAAACTTGTAACTATATGATAGATAATGGTATTATACCCGCAATCAAGATAATTATATTGACCACGTTGTTCATTATCGAAGACTAAAAATAAGAGCCCTTTAGGTAATGATTCACTTTCGCTTGCTAACGATTCTAACCAATTAATGAATTTTGTATAACCATCCGAACTAATTATATGGTTATCAATATCAATAATAGTTTTAGATCGTGCTAGAAAATATTTGATTCCTGTTATTGCTAGATTTATTTCTGATACATAGTTTTTGTATCTCGATCCATAGATAGCGTCAATAGCAACTATTTTTTTAAAAATTTTTTCATTTAAAGTATAATCGTTACCACTATTACTATCATTACGAGTGAAAACATTAATAAAGTTAACAACGATGGGATTACGATTAGCTAACCAATTTTCAGATACGAAATTTAATAAATTATCAAGAGAAAATCGTTGCTTATTTAAAATCAAGGACTCAATATCATTATAGACGTTCTGTCGTTCTTTGTTTGCAATTTAAATTATGTAATCAATTCTTTTTTTTTGACTGTCATAACGATTTTTCTATTTATGTTTTAGTGTATTATTTTCTTTAGTTAGCTCTTTATTTACTTTTTCTATTTCTCGAACACGTTCCCAACTCTCGATTACATAATCATATGTATACTCTAATTGATTTTTAAGATCTTTTATCTCGCTTATTTTCGAATTTAATTGTAATTGAAGTAAATAAACTTGACTTTCAAGAGCATGCAACGTAATATCAGATACTTGAACGCCAATTTCACGGGTTTCATTGGTAATTTGTATACCAATCTTATCAGTTTGAATGCCAATTTCACAAGTAATTTTTTCTCCTATTTTATAAGCATGCTCCATATGAGCTTGTTTTTCAACCAATTCATTTTCAGAATCATCATATAATTGCCACTTTTGTTTATTTTGTTTATTAGACGATTGCGAATAATTTGCATTTAAAAGAACTTATCGCAAGAAATCGGATACAATAAGTTGGTTATAGTGTTTTTCACATAAAGAAAAATCTTCTAAATATGTTTGAATTAGAATTAACTTAGGAAAAAAGCTATTATACAAGGGAAGACGACTTTTTGCTAATTTACTATCCGCATGCCGAAATGTTTGAGACTCTTTAGTTTCACATAGTAACAACCCAGAACCATCATGCAACATAACCGAAGCAGCCAAAGCGCAAGGTAATTTATATACTGGCTGTCGTTGATGTTGTTGATGCTGATTGGATTTCACTAATAAAAAAAATTAAAGTGATTATGAAAATGTTGGGTGAATTATAATGAAAAAGTCGAGTAAATTTATTACATACTTGTTTTTGACCAACTTTTTTATATGGCTTGTTTTTTGAAATTAGTACAATAATAAAAGATCGATTTTCAATATTTCTGATCAAACAAAAACTACGTAACGATGACTATTGGAATGTATATGATACTAGAATGATTATTATTACAAAAAAAAGTGTGTAACTAGTGGCTTTCAAAGAACAAAAAGTACTACTTCTAATAATTAAAAAAAAAAAAAAAATCTCTGTATTTTGCTAGTACAGATTTTATCATAAGAAAGTATGGGGCTGGTAGTAGCGTAGGTGATTGATTATTCGCTTTTCTAGAAACAACGAAACGAAGTGCTTCTAATATTAAAGAATTTTTAAATTCTTAGTAACCTCAACAAAAAACCTATACCTTTATAGTAACTACAAGGTTACTTACTCTAGATTTCCGTTTTCTAAGGATTCGCTATGTTACAACGACAATTGTTTAAATTTAGCATGTGAAAACCGTTAAAATCAGGTGAATGTGGTTGATATATTACCTTCTAAATATGAAAATATCATCTATATTTACTAAAAACCATGCTTGAAGACAACTTCTACGTACGTTAAATACTATCTCAAGCTGGATTTAAAAAAAAACAAAGTGAAGTATAGTCAGGCCTCCCTAAATGTATAGTCTATGAAAAACATTTCTAAATACATAATCTTGTTTTGCTCCAACCCATATAATACATATAGATTTTTATGTCTCTAAATGTAAGATTTTTTGATTTTTTTTCATATAGGCCCCTCGGCTATATATTTAGAGAGGTTTAACTGTATTATCTTCCCCTATGATCCAATATTATTCGAACTAAGATATAAAGAAGCCATCGTAATGCTTTCACAAAGTGCATCTCTGC